GGGAAACCTCACCCGGCCCGGACACGGAAAGGATTGACAGATAGATAGCTCTTTCTCGATTCTGTGGGTGGTGGTGCATGGCCGTTCTTAGTTGGTGGAGAGTTTTATCTGGTTAATTCCAATAACGAACGAGAGTCTGGCATGCTAAGTAGTTATGCGACCCCCGAGCAGTCGGCGTCCAACATCTTAGAGGGACAAGTGATGTTCAGCTCCCCGCTCGGCCATCAGGTCAACCCGGAGGAAGCGGGCTGAAAATTTTTTGCCAAGTCTGAAAAATTATTGCCGAGTCTGAAAAATTTTCCATGTCCCCGCTCGGCCACCAGGTCAACCCAGAGTCAACTGGCTGCTAATGAGAGAGGAATTGGTTGCTGCTCACCTAGCCAAGCAGTCAGATTTTTGAACAAACTGTTATTCATAGAGAAACTACAGCAAGTTACAGAACAATGTGAAAACAAAACCAGCACCTCCCTCCAATACCCTCACCACTCAGAGAGCCCTTTGGATTTTTGGTCGGTCCTTTCAAGATGCCTAGACTCTCCTCTCCTCCCTCTCAGCCTTCAGATTGTCTCTCCCTCCACCTGTAACAAGGTCTCTCTAGATAGTTCAAGCGTGTCGGTCAAAAGGTTCCCCAACATTCCATGTTAGCAACTTCTTTGATTGTCCTGTAACTGTTCCAGACAGGGTGTGTGACAGGTGACAGTGAAAAACCCCAGCAGTGAGGAAAATCCTAGCCCGGCCGAGGTTCAATTGCAGACAGATAGCGCGGTGCGTGCATACCTGAAGCCAGAATTTGGCAGAATCTTTGTATTATTAATTAGCTGTTACACTGTGTTTTGCACTTTCAAAGCACAAATACTATTAAAAATCATTTGATTGCTGTTAATGTATTAATCCTCATGACATCGCTGTGAAGTAGGTAAGTACTGTTTTCCCCAAACAGAGGAACTGGATTAGAAAGGTTGAGACTTGTCTATTGTTATTTAGTTGTATGATGGTAGCACTTAGAGGCCCCAACAGAGTTAGGGTGCTAGCCACTACATGAATGCTTAGTTACACACAAGACAGACAATAGGTGAGATAGGAAACAGTGTCACAGGAAGGTCAAGGGACTCACCTAAGGTAACACAGCAGGTCAGTCATTTGAGAGCCAAGACTGGGGCAATGAAAAGGTTTTGTTCTTATATCATAAACTGGTTAATAAACTTATATCAACTCTGTTATGAGTGTAGTGTGAGGAACTAAAACAAAGTACCCCAAAGAAAGTTAGGCTGAAACTTTGCTTAGTTTCAAAAAGGGACCCAGCTTCATTCAGGTTTGAAGACAGAGGAAGTTCCAGCAGCCTTCACCTCCAAAAGGGAGATGGAGAATGAATAGCCTTATAGGGCTCCCTACCTAAAATTAACTCCTCTTCACTAATTATGCCACCTGATCCCCTGACTTTATCTTTCTGGCAATAAGTTGTCCTGTCTCCGCTTAGTGGTAGATCATTGCAGCATAAAGGTTTCAGGGCATTAGGATGAGGACCTCTTTACAGGATATGCCATCTATTTTAGGTCCACGTTTACCCCTGCTTCTACATACAAACCTGGGGCTGTCTCATTGTTAATCCCTGTCAAATACTAATCAGAAATGGTGGCAACATGATATAAAAGGATGAAACTGACGTTATTGAAGTAAACTTTACACATATTAAAGAGAGAAAGACAGACCCGACTGACCCAGATCTGGCTTGCTCCTCTATGATTGATTGGGCTGTGCATTTGAGAGATTTTTGGTTTTGTACCACCACAAAGGAAAGGGGAAAATAAAATCTCCATGGAGCAGGGACAGTCTTTTGGTCTGTGTTTGTAGAGCGCCCAGCACAATGGAATCCTGGCCCATGACTGGGGCTCCCAGCAGGCCCTACCACAAAGCAAATCATCATGATAACAAGAGATACAACCTCCAAGCAGACGCCTTGGGCAAGTGCAAGTCATTTAGTTTCTGTATGCCTCAGTTCCCCATTTGTGAAATGGGGGCAATAGTAGTTCCCTGCCTCCCAGGGTCGTTGTGAGGAGAGATATAGTAAAGATTGTGAGTCCTGTAGATACTACAGTGATGGAGGCCAAATATGCACCCCAAATAGATGTAAGGTTAGTGAGGCTTTCTGTGTGCTGCCTCTGAGAAGGCTGCAAGGGGCCTGCTGTTCAAGGTTTGGGGTGCTGGCAAGAACCCACTAGCCCAGAGGTTCTCAAACTGGGGGTTGGGACCCCTCAGGGGGTCATGAGGTTATTATTTGGGGGGGGGTCAAACCCCACTTTGCCTCCAGCATTTAAAATAGTGTTAAATATAAAAGTGGTTTTAATGTATTGGGAGGGGGAGGTCGCACTCAGAGGCTTGCTGTATGAAAGGGGTCACCAGTACAAAAGTTTGAGAACCACTGCACTACTGAGTCCAAGGAGACGGGGAGTGTCGGGGGTCCTCCAGCCTCCTACTTTGGCTTCGGCCACAGCTCCTGCAGGAGGAACAGGGGCTCTTCTGTTCCTGGGATGGTTCCCTTCCCAGCCCCCAAGGCGGAGGGCCACAAGGGCCCTGGGGTTGGCTGGGCTCTGGGGGCAGTTCCCTCAGAGACCTGTTTACACCAGGGGGCCAGCCCAGGCTGCCATTAAATCCCCCCCCCCCTTCCCAGCCCTTCTGGGGGCTCTGGCTGGAGCCAGGGCAGGGGGCTGCCCCGCAGGACCCCCCCCCGGGACACGCGCCCACACGCTGAAAGGCCGGGAGCAGAGACCCGGCCGTGGGCGTCTCCTGCCTGCGGGGGAATCCCTCGGGCGCGCTCCCCTCAGGCCGGCCTCCCCCGGGCCCCGGCCGGCTCATGCGCAGGTGGCGGCAGGAGGTGGAGCAGCCCGGCGCCGGGCTCGGTTGCGGCGACTCTGCACAGCGGCCGGCGGAGCGGATCGGCGCGGGGCCATGGCGCCGCGGCTCTTGCCCCTGCCCAGGCAGCAGTCCCTCTACCCGCCCAGCGTCCGCAACCCCTTCGTGCACGAGGGGCGCCTGAGCGCCCGCGACAAAGCCCGGGTAAGGCCGGCGGCCCGGGGCGGGATTAACGGGGCAGCGGCATCCTCGCCGGTGCACACGGGGCACGTGCGGGGGAATGAAGGTGCCGGGGCGCGGGGAAGGGTCTGGGCCCGGCTGCTGGGCGTGGTGCTCGGTCAAAGCCGAGGGAACGAGGCTGTTTATTCCCGGGCAGCCCTTCCGCCAAGGCTGCAGTAAATCCAGGGCGGCGATTAGCCTGCAGCCGGCGCGCCCGGAGCAAAGCGTCTCCCTCCAGCCACCCTCCCTCGGGGATCGGCAGGGAAGCAGCCCGACGGGTGTGCACGAGCTGGACAATGTTTGTCTTTTCCCCTCCTGTCAGCGTGCGGGGTTGCAACGACCCAGCTACATTGCATGGGCACTAGACTTCCCTTTCTGTGCGTGGACACATTGCCGCTGGAAGAGTACAGGGTGCTCCGACTGTCTGGTTAAAGTAGGGGCCGCTTCTACCAACAAACAAATCCCAGCGCCCTCCCCCAGCTTGTCAAAATCTACATGGCTATTTCCCATGTTCAAGAGAGGCACTATCACCAATACTGTGCCTTGGTAAATGTTGATTTTCCCCCCCCCCCCCTTAAAAACTAGCTCCCATTGCATTGGAGATGTTACTTTTTTTAAGAGTTAACCTTTCAGTTTACTGTCGCTGTTTGGTCCAATTGACCAATTAGAGCAGGGGTTCTCAAACTGGGGGTCGGGACCCCTCAGGGGGTTGTGAGCTGTCAGCCTCTACCCCAAACCCCACTTTGCCTCCAGCATTTATAATGGTGTTAAATATATTAAAACGTCGTTTTAATTTGGGGGGGGGCTGCACTCAGGGGCTTGCTATGTGAAAGTGTAAAAGTTTGAGAACCACTGAATTAAAGGAATAGAACTGCTGAGGTGCAATTACTTTTGATGTTAGCACTCTGGCACCATCAGGTCAAAACTGGTCCATGAGTTGGCTCTAATACTACAGTTAGATCCAGTTGCAGCACTGGGATTTTAGATTTGGCTGGGGTGGGGGAGCATTTTATAAAATTTAACAGTAGTAGAAATTTTTTCCAGGGGAAACATTTTCTTCCCAATCATTTCCTCATTCTTCTGGTTCATGTCACCTTGAAAGTGAAACTGAATAGCAATACAAGGGAAAATGACTAGTCTTTTTTATTATCAAAGCTTAGGGGAAATGTAAAAGAAATCAGCATAAAGAGTAAGTCCCTGTTTAAGATGATCTCATTTTAATAATCTAATGACCCAATCCTACAAACAAGCAGGTGAAATATCTGTATGTAAATGAGTAGTCCCACTGATGTCAAAATTACAACTTGTGTTAGTAAAGTTACACCCTTGCATAAATATTTGCAGTATGAGGGCTATGGTTGTTGTTTATAAAGTAGGAAAGAAAATAGCTTAAAACATTATTTTTCTCATAAGTAAACTTTTAAACCCTGTTCCTTGGGTTATTAATCTGTACAATGTGGCTAATACTTGTCTCACTTTGAAATGGCAGTATAAAAAGCTGAATTATTATAATATTGATTTTAAAAGGATTCATGTTAAGCACTTTAAAAATTCTTTTCTTTTCAAATTAAAATTAAATAATTTAAAACATATACTTTTTAAAAAAAATGTTGACTCTTACTTATCTGTTAGCTTGGACAATGCAAAGAGGATAGCCAGTTTCACATTATCGTTAACTAGGGTGACCAGATGTCCTGATTTTATAGGGACAGTCCCAATTTTTGGGTCTTTTTCTTATATAGGCTCCTATTACTCCCCAACCCCTGTCCCGATTTTTCACATTTGCTGTCTGGTCACCCTATTGTTAACAGATTTTATTTGCAGGCTCAATTGAACTAGATTCTGCGGTAGTGGATGCAAATGCTGCAGGGGATTGGATGACAGACTTTTTTCTTTTTTCTCTTTCACCTTTTGGAATTAAAAAATACGTGGAAGCAATTATGGATTTATGATTTTAAAAATCTTATATTATAAAAATCTAAACTTTGAGCCAAATTTGACCCGACATTGTCTCAGTAAGGACAATCAACACAACACAGGGTGGCCTAATCATCTTCCACTTTCTGCTGATACTTTATTAAATATCTGGGATTAGTGTGTAATGGAATTCTAAATAGTTCTATATATCTATACTCTACATTTTAAATAACTCACATTGAAGGTAGGTGAGGTGGAGGAAAGATAAGACACTTGCATAACAATTTATGATCAGTATTTACGCTGTTCAGCTTTAATGGTGGACTGAAATGTTTCTTAAATACAAACACACCAGGATCTGCAAGCATGGACCCCACACCTCTCAATTGTGCCATTGACTTTAGTGCGACTGCGATTCCCCAAAGGTGTAGGTTTCCATACTAGCAGATCTGGTTATAGAATACAGAAACTTGTTTTCAGAAGCCTACAATTTGAAACCATGGTCCATTACTCCAGATCTCTACAATAATCTCCACTTGTTCAGCAGTTGAAGTATGTTCCTGTAAAGCTACAGGAGGGTGGGGGGAGATTACACAATGGTACAGTTTCAGGCCCCAGTGCTGCAAGATGCACTGTGTGGTGAGCCTGGCACCCATTCACAGCCCCCTTGAGGCCATTGGGGTTCTCCATGAGTGCCAGGTTCTGCCTGTGAGGTGCACCTTGCAGGTCAAGGCTTTACAGAGACAGGAGGCCAGTGGGAACTGAAGAGCCTGCTTTTCACTCACATTTTGCTAGCTGAATCTTTCTTGTGGACATTAGACAGCAGCGAATGTTCATGTTCGAACTTCTGCATAAAAACAAATGCTTTTCTTTAATTCCTTTCTAGTCTTCAGTGAGATGTGGTATCACCCTGTCCTACATTAGAGGCTTAGTCAAATAGTTCAGTTCCCAAATCTAGGGGGGCCTTTGTGGCTTTGAATATTTTTTTACTCTTTAACAAAACTTAATGTAAAAATAAACATTTTCATGGTGTGTTTTCTGGATAGCTATATTCTGCTGTAAACCCAAAGGCTGCACCAATGTGCTAATACATGGAAACTGGGAAGGGAAACTGATTAGTCTGTTTTCATTGTTGGAGCTGAGTGCAATGCAAAAGGTAAATAATGTCAGACACGGTCAAAAGTGTAGTCAACTTTAAAAGACCTCTGGCTTTATATACGGCAATATAGCAACTTACTTTTAAATAAAAATGTTTTTTTAACCTCACAGTGCAGCTGTTTAGAAGAGAAAGGGTCTCTTTAGAAGATGAGGAAATGGTTTTCTCGTCACATAGGATTACTTGGGTTTGGAGCCATCTGAAAAAAGTAATACAAATCTATTGAAACAAACAATGGATGTTTACCTTGCAACCCACAAAATAACCAGTCATACCTGCTAGGGGCAGGTTTACCTGCTCAGGAGCTGTAAGAAGGTGGGATTAGCAGACCTAAATTCGTCTCAGTCCTTAATCATCTCTGTACGTCAATTTATGACATGTCCCTCTAATATTAAATGTGTGTGCTATAGGTGATCAGGAAAAAAGATTGCAGTATCTTTGTTGTGTTAATTTGGAGTTTATAGCTCAATAGCTCTCCATTTAAAATGTGTGTGTATTATACTGCCTGTACCTATAGAGGGGTGTTGTATCAGAATAGCCCATCAAGTCAAGCAGAAGACATGGGTTATCATTCATGTGGTGGTTGTCACCAAAGGCTGCAATTAAGATTTTAAAAAGATTGTGCTAGGAGCTGTAAAAACTGCACAGGAAGATGCAGCCTTTGCCTCAGAGAACTTGCAATCAAGTTTGAAACAGATGTAAACAAGCAAGTGTGATTAACCAAAGTGAAGGAAGGAGTAGGGTATTTAGAAATAAGATCACATGGATTTACATGGATTTCACAAGCTTGATGGGGGTCTGTTATTTCCAGTCTGGAGTTAGTTCATCAGAATGGTTGTCTTTTAAAATAAATAAATCTGCTATCACTGACTGCTACATTACCTATCATTCACAGGCTGGCTGATTTTCATGGGCCTAACACCAAAAGTATGTATTGAGGAGAGGCTAGTAACCTTATAGATTAATTCAGAATGCATGTTTTATGTGTAATGGCCGCCATCTTGGCTAACCTGAGGGATTGAACTGGAGATCTCTAGGGCTAAAAGCTTGAGTCTCTGCATCTTGAGTTCAAGAAACAGACTCTCTAGCTGGGAGTTGTAACAGACTCATCTTGTGTGGACTGGGCACAGAGGAGGACATACTGACCAATGGGTTACATATGCATAAAGGGCATCATGGAAGAAAGCAGAAACACTCATGGGAGAAATAAACAAATGGAGGTATGAGGGAAACATAAGAGACTAGAGTAGATATGTTGGAGAGGGACAGAATTGTGAAGAGCCTGGAAGATGAGGACAGGAAGCTTGAATTCGATGCACTGAAAAATGTGGAACCAGTGGAGGGATTCAGAGAAAAGGATGACGTAATCAGAGCAAAGGGTAAGGAACATGATCTTAGCAACTGTATTTCTTAATGGATTAGCGGGGATGGGGGCAATGTTCTTGTCAGAGAAGCCAGAGAGGAGGAAAAGGGAGATGGGAGATGATGTGAGCCTAGCTGTGTGGAGAGAGAAAAAAGGCTGGATTTTGGAAATGTTATAAAAGAGGAAAGGGCATCGTTGGCATAAAGCCTAGATGTGTTAGATGTAGGAGAGCGAGGAGCCAACGGTGACCCCAAGATTGACAGAGTGTCAGGGAGGATTGGGGCATTGTCAACAGTGTCAGATACTGGGGTGGAGCACTGGGTTTGGAAGGAAGTCTAAAGAGTTCAGTTTTGATCTTGTTAAGGGTAAGCTGGTGTTGCGACATCCAGGAGGGGGCAGAAAGGTAGGCCGAAGTATGAGATTGCATGGATGGAGACCAGGCAGGTATGGAAAGGGAGAATTGTAAGTCATTGTTTTAAAGAAGCCTGGTGAGCAGAGAAATCATGCCCAAAAGGGTGCACAGCTAGAAGAGAAGAGGCTCCAATGAGA